TGGTCCGGGGTCTCTTCCAGCCCGGCTTTGTCGGTCTCCGGCAGTGGGAGAACCGACATTTGAACCTCCCAATCCTTTTATTTTCCAGCCCAGATTCCTATCCTATTTTTCTTTGACTAGCCCTTTCTTTGGACTATTTGAAATCCATCTATCAAAAATCAAGGGTAAATTCTAATTATGCCTGTTCCTCCCTTCCTTTCAGGAATACAGATTTTAAATAAAAGGTTATCAATTTTTCATTTAGGACTAGTTTCCCCATCATCCTTGAGGACAGCGTTTCTCAAAGTATGGTCCTTGTAAGAGCAGTGCCAGCATCACCTGTGAGCTTGTTAGAAATACAAATTTATGGGTCCCACTCGACCTACTATATTAGAATCTCTGGGGATTGGGCCCAAGAAAATCTCCAAATGAGTCTTATGCGTGTTAAAGTTTGAGAACCACTACTCTAAGAGAAGAAACTTCCAACCCAAAAGTTGTCAGATAATGTGCTTTTAGCAAAATGTGATTTCCATCAAGTGCTTAGACACTGAGAGTCCCTCACACTACGGTATCCAATAACCTTAGTGACTATCTTGTGTCTACAACTCATCACCACATACAGTATACTTCCACTCCTCCATCTAACCCTGATTCTCTCTCCTTTTAGTCTCCTTTTGATGGTGTTCAGTATCCTTCCATTTTCAGGGTCTCAGATCTCAATGCAGGTATATAATTTCTTGCCATATCATATTATTACATCTTTCCCTTTAACAAATCTGGGCCTTACAAGAAAGACTTATTCTTCCATTTTTACATTTGTATGGTAAGCCCAAACCCAGAAAGTCACCATGATAGTCACGAGATATTTTATTATTCTCCCTTATAATCTCAACTTTATATTATCATTCACATTTTGTATGCCATTAAAGAATTTGGAGGCTCTATGTATCATGTCCAGCTACTTTCCATAATTGTTGTCTTTTGTGAATTCCTGGATATTGTCTCTATTTATTCTGCTCACCATGTCTTACTTGCTATCTAACAGTGTTCCATCAGTTAATCTGCTTATTTTTCCCCTCTTCAGAAGTATTCAGTTTAAAGCTGTCTTGACCAGATCAGCTAGTTCTAGAAAAACACACTCAGGAGACCATCCCTCGCTCCATATTCTCCTAAACTCAGTGGAAAATGATGATAATTATATTAACTGCAAACTTTTCTTCCTAAGCTTTTTAATTAATGCTTTTATAATGATGATAAATAAAAACTATGGCTATAACCAGAAAGGGATTGGGAGGGCCAGGAATACGAATGGGTTAATACAAATTTTATAGTTTGATTATGAAAAATACTTTACTTAAGGTCAGACCTTTACATGGTCTTTCTTAAGGAAGAATAAATATTATCATTAGAAAAATATTATTTGCTTTCAAATTAATATATCTGTGATCATAATTTACTTCTTAGAAGTGAATAAAAATCATTCAAATTGATTCAATTATATATTCCACTCTGAATTATGTTTATTCTACACACAGATAAATAAGTTNGCTTTTATAATGATGATAAATAAAAACTATGGCTATAACCAGAAAGGGATTGGGAGGGCCAGGAATACGAATGGGTTAATACAAATTTTATAGTTTGATTATGAAAAATACTTTACTTAAGGTCAGACCTTTACATGGTCTTTCTTAAGGAAGAATAAATATTATCATTAGAAAAATATTATTTGCTTTCAAATTAATATATCTGTGATCATAATTTACTTCTTAGAAGTGAATAAAAATCATTCAAATTGATTCAATTATATATTCCACTCTGAATTATGTTTATTCTACACACAGATAAATAAGTTCTAAGTTAAAAATATTTACCAGATCTAGGTTGAAAACCATAATGTAGAACATGGCACTACAGAAGTCACAGAATTTATATTCAAAATGCAAGAATACTCTGAAGACATGCAATTAGTTTAAATTGTGATGTATAACAAATTAGTAGTTTAAAAAGCAATTTAAACCCAGTATGGCTTGTACAGCATATCTAAGTCCAAAGGAGTAATTAAAAGATGGCAAAAGAAAGTTAACGGAACATAATAATAAAATAAAATCACAAAATGGACCACATTCTCTGAAGAAATCTGGGATGTGCATATAAAACCAAACATTTCTCGAATAATTATTATTCTTAAGAATGAATGGATAAAAAGTATTGATGATTAATACAAATGAAAACAATGAAACAACACACTAAACTGTGAAAATGTATTAATTCTCCAATAATTTGTCTTTTTTTTTTTTTTTTTTTTTAAAAAGATGACCGGTAAGGGGATCTTAACCCTTGACTTGGTGTTGTCAGCACCACGCTCAGCCAGTGAGCGAACCGGCCATCCCTATGTGGGATCCGAACCCGGGGCCTTGGTGTTATCAGCACCGCACTCTCCCGAGTGAGCCACGGGCTGGCCCGAATTCTCCAATAATTTGAATAGTCACACATTTCTTCTAAATAATATACTGGTTAAAATCAGTTACAAAAAGTAAATGGAGTTCAAACAGAATAATTCTGTTTTTAAAACAGCATCTTTTTATTTCTAATATGAAATGTAAATACCTTATAAGTATCCAATAAATATTAAAATAATATTGTTAAAATCACATAAGTGATAAAAATGGACAATACAAATTTTATTTATTTATTTTAATTTATCAATATACAATGTAGTTGATTTTCATGGCCCTTTGCCAATTCCTCTTTTTCTCCTCTTCCCTTCCCCCCCACCCCCATCGACATCACATCTGTAAAAATATAAACTTTGAGAGGAAGGGTTTGGTGGTAAGATGTAAAACCACATTTAGAAAATATTCCTATTTTTGTTAGTCAAAAACTGTAACTTTTCGCGAGTCACAAAGCTTTTGGGAGTCTGTTTCTCTCTACCAAAATTGGACCCTGGAGATGACCTATCAGTGAGAAATGCTTTGATAACTGACTAGAAAATGACTGTTTATAAACATCGTATATCATCATCATCCTTTTATCCTTCCACTTGTTCAGTTATCTTGTCATCAACAGAGATTCTACTTAAAATCATTCTACTCTTTTTTACTTCCCAGCTTCTACTCTATCATTCTATCCAGCTTCAGTAACTCTTAATTCAATCTTCAGCCTAGTTGAAGCTAATAACCACTCTCACACAAAAAAAACTGATTATAGAAAATGTAACGTTCTGGTGATGCTTTGGGACTCTTAGGGGAAAGACACCTCATAAATATAAATGGATATATTTAGAACCCATGGTTGTATTTTGAGATTACAGAAGTTTCTCACTATACTTCATTAAACAGTATTAGCAAAGATAACACTATGTTTTCATGCAGAGTCCTGGTCAAATCTTTCTCTGACCATTGTGCCTCACACAGAGCTAATGCTCAATAAACGCCTGCTATTGAATGAGGTCCATTAAAAAAAAAAGGTGCCAGTCCTGTGACGAATAAACTAACCTGAACCAATAATTCCTTTTTTCATTCATTCACTCAACAAGTATTTATTAAGTAGCTACAAATTGCTTCAGTCATTCAATTAGTACATAAAATGCAAAAAATATAATTGGGTAAGGAATATTTCTACATTCCTTTTTTTCAGAAATTTCTAACGTGCATTTTATATATAGTTTTATGCGTGCAAATGACCTTACCTCTCTTACAGATAGCTGTGGTGGGAAGGAGACTGAAAATACCAAGTTGGTGAATTCAAACCCAGAGGCCTCAACCTTCTGGCACACCTAAAAAAGTATGGCAATTATATAAATGCCCAGGAATTGCTGAAAATATCACTCTATGTTCATAATATGAATTTCTGGTTCAGGAGATGACACTGCAAAACTTCCACTTTTACATTTGAGTGAGGAACTCTCACAAACATCCTGAGATTAAATATTTGCTAACTATGACCCTGAAGACTAATATCACAAGGTACCAAAATGGCCAAGACTGACACCTGCAGACAATCTGTTGAGTGTCAAAATAGTTTTTTATTAGGTCACCTCATAATTTTTAAATGTTTTCAAATAACAAAGCACTCTTGACGGCAGGAAACAAAAGGCAATTTCACATTCAATCATTTGCCTTCTAAGAGGCTATAACACTTGTCTTTTCTAGACAATAATAGGTATGACTAAGAAAGAGCTTTTTCTCTCCTTAGCTATGTTAAATAGCAAAAGGAAAACAAACTGCTATTTTTTTCTTCACTAGACTAGCACTAATGACTGAAATACATGACATACAGCTCATTGATATTGAGATATGTTGATTAAAAAGGTAATTCAAGAATAGTTTTTTTTAAAAGATTACAAAATTTTTTTATGTTCCATTAGTGTGAAACAAGTTGAATATCATTGTTCTTTTTGATACAAGAATTCTAGGACTTAGGACTGAAAATCTCTATATAATTACTCCTATATTAGAAAAGAGATTATTTACCTTTTTAATGAACTCCTTCTCACAGAATTCTTGAAGAATTCCTAGGCATACATTGCATACATTTAAATTTGAGTTCTTGGAAGCAATGCTTCCATCTTCGATAACAGAGATCCTTCCTTCTCCATTTTCACTCAGATTATCAATCCCATCTTCCATTTCTTGTAGTCGAATTTTCTTGGGAGGTGGATTTGGAACTTCCCAAATTAACTCATCTTTTACAGATTCCAGAAATTGTTGTAGTTCATTGAGCAACTCCTGGAAATTTAACAAAAGTAATAATACCTTGACAACGTCCTTAGGGTTTCTAGGTAACATGAAACATGGGAATTATGACATATAACAGACTTGTACAATATTGATTTATATCAATTCTGGGGCAATTTAAAAAAGAATTACCTAACTCCTATTATATATGTGTGAGTATTTTTTCAAAAGCATTCCATGTATCAGTGAAGCTAAAGTCCCAAACCTGAGGCAGAAAGGTTCCATTAACACATTAATTTGATTTGTAGTTCTGAGGGTCATTCATCTGCTAATTTCAGTATCAACAAACTTTAACTCTAATATAAACATATAAAAATACAAACTGAATTTCCATCCTTGCTAGGTTAATAACCTCACAATCACTAAAACCTCAAGTACAATATATATATTTTTTTTGACCAGTAAGGGGATCGCAACCCTCGGCACGGTGTGGTCCGCACCACGCTCAGCCAGTGAGTGCACCAGCCATCCCTATATAGGATCTGAACCCGCGGCCTCGGCGCTACCAGCGCCGCACTCTCCTGAGTGAGCCATGGGGCCGGCCCACAATATTTTTTTAATATGAAATCTGATCATTAGATAGAAGTCTATTAAGCAAAAATAATTTTGAGACAATTTACTAAACAAGGTACACAGATGTTGGCAATGCTTAAATTTGGCACCATAATTACAAACCATCTATATACATTAATTGAAAGAAGATTTCTACTACATTCTGGTTTGCCTAATTTCTGTCATTCCTTGTGTTAGAATGTAAAATCTGGCATTCCTTTGAAGCCATTCTCATAGTTCAGATATTCCACTCATCTAAACACTCAGAGAAACTGTTCTCTGTTTGGTCTAAATTAGATAGGTTCTATTACTCAGTTGTTGAATAAATACCCTTTTCAAATTCATTCAGATTACAATTTACTGACTCTAAAGAGAAAAAATCTTTCACCCAAATTTAATTCATTTTATTGAGACATTAGCTCTCCTATTTGAACAGAGAAATTTACAAACATACACATACAGGTATGTTATGACCCACACAAATACATTTATTATAACCTAAGATCTATAATGTCACTGTAACATACTGCATATACATACTGAGTACACATACATATGTAATTATATAAATGGGACAGATCATAATTTAAGAACATTTCCAAAAAAAGCCTTCAAATATTTTTATGTATTTATATAAAATGATACAAACAAAAGTTGGTAACATTCAGTCTCTTTACATAACACATATTTTAAATCTTACAACATATGTATAGAATAATAGATTATAACTTATCTGAAAAAATGTATAAGAAGGGCTACACAAAACCGGTCATTACTTTGTAGTCATATTTTGTATAAATAAATATACATATATATTAATCATCATAGCATATGTACCATTTCCAGTTTTCAAAGTGTTTTCACATACTTTATTACATATTGTCCCTTAAAATCCTGTGAAGTGGATGTTATCATTCCCATTTATAGAGAAGTAAACTGAAGCTGGAAAGTGGTGGAACTGGGATTCAAATCCATGTCTTCTAGCTCCAAATCCTAGGCTTTGGATTCAGACTGATTGTTCAAATCCTAGCTTGCTCACTTAATAGCTGTGTAACTTTGTGCAGGTTCCTTAACCTCTCTGTGTCTCAGTTTCTTCATCTGAAAATAGAGACAATCATAGTGTGTACTTACCTGTTAGGTTATTTTGAGGATTATATGAGAACTTGACATATAGTAATGCTAAATGAATATTGGGTATTACTATTATATCCAAAATAATAGAAACAGCTAATCATATAAGGAAAAATGATTGCTATTGCCAACTCTGGGTAATTTTTAAGATTATAAGAAACTGAGCGTGAGAGTATGTGCACTGTTTATATATGTATATATCAAATATACATTATTACTATCTGCCTCTGAAAAGAATGCCATTATTAGAATCAAATATATTTCACAAATGTTATATATTTTATGTGACAGTCTTCTATTAAATGTCAAAGCTCTCTGTATATTACTGTTGTTGTTATTAATAGCAGTAATAATGATGATGATAATTTACTTCTAAAGTGTTCCACATACCTATTTATAAATAGAAATGGTAATATGGAAAATAGAAAAAGGAAAAAGGCAACAAAATCCACAATGCTCCCATTTAGTAGAATATATCAGGACTATTATCCCCATCCCACCCCTGTTACAACTTACTAATATCAGGTAAGAAACAATATTTTGTGATAGTTTGCTTAGATAACCTTTAGGAAAGGTCTATACAAATATTAAATGCATCAGGAAATTCCTCCTCAAAGGTCCCACTACACTAAATGTTAGATATAATCACTTAAGAAGAAACATTTCTGAGACTACTTTTCTAAAGTAATGGGAATTCCAAAATTACCACTATCAGTAATCATTTTATTATAGTTTTTTTTATTATTTAATTAAGAGTTACGGATAGAAACTTGTCCTCAAAGGTATAGGTATTCATTTTAAAATATATAGAATTTTTCTTAACTTAAAAAATACATATAAATACCTTGTATGGACGTTTGTAAGGTTCATGAAAATCCACACCACAGAATCTGAAGATACATCTTGGACAGGTACCAGTATTGAGCAACAACCGGGCCACATGCTTATTTTCCTCAGTCAGTGGAAACATTGTAATTATAACTAGAAAGAAAGAAAAACTAATAAGCAGCTTCTGTGTTTTACTGTCACAGAAAAATATGTCATCTCTTTAGGGATAAAAACTAGGTTTTATTTGAAAATAAAACTGTTTCACACTTTCCAATAATGCTCCTTTCATTATACACATAGTCCTTATAAACTTGAAGGAAGGTTATAAGACAGATCAGGTAAAGGTTTCTAACTGTCATGGAATTTAGTTTAGCATTCTGGATTATGATAAAATGCATCAATATAACTAAATCGATCAAAAGAAATAAAATAGAAATAATCAAGACCATTGCCTCTGAAGAGGGTAATGAAAACAAAGGTGCAAAGTGTAATTTTGCTTTTTATTTTGTACCATTCAGTATTGAGAACACAGTAAATTCATTAAACTTTTCCTATTAATAATTAAAAATTAAAGTTGGCTAGGAAAAAATAATCAGATCAGTGTACAATTTATAATACTTGACTAGCCTTAATCATAGTTTAGCAGTCAAGTATTTAAAACAAATTGATCAGTAGGTCCAAAAACATCAACTTTACTTTGATGACTTAATAACTAAACTGCAATCAATTGTTAGCAAAATGAGAAAAACCTGTTCCTTTCATCCGTGAGTAAAACCTCCAGCAAAAACAAAATGCAAAGTATTTGAGAGAAATTATTTACCCGAAATAAGTTGCCAATTTTTGCAATTTGAATAAACTCACACAGAAAAAAATACAGAGAATGGGGGGAAATCCAATGTAAGTCTCCTGTTGCCACGAAGAAGGAATACTAAAAATTCAAGTTACTTAATCACTCTGTTTGGCAAAAATAGATCTGATCAGTGACTTAGTTCACATTACTTTAAAATGATGAACAAGTGATACTTTATAAAACACGGCAATGTTGTGGTATGGTATAACTGTGATCACATAGATAAAAGACAAGGCACCTTTTAATTTGTGCAGATTCATAATTCAAATGAAATTGCTTAAAATTTGTGGAAGGATGAAGCTCTCACAAACAGCTTACCATGAAGATGTGATTTTTATTATGAGTGTTCTCCAACCCTTTAATACTCACTACTTGCCAGTTTCTAAATGTTTGTGGCCACTTACCAAGAGAAGTAGATCCTTCACACAAAATAATGACAAAGACAGATATATAGTTCTATAGAACTCTTCACCATAAAAATCAGTTCAGGGCCGAGCCCGTGGCGCACTCGGAAGCAGCGCTCCCACCGCGGGTTCGGATCCTATATAGGGATGACCGGTGCGCTCACAGCGCTCACTGGCTGAGCGCGGTGCCGCCCGTCTCAAAAAGGACAAAAAAAAAAAAAATCAGTTCAGCAGTCAGGACTATAAAAAACAGATTGCCTATGGCTGGGATCTAATTCAGGTAAATACAAGGATACTTTGAAAAGTTTGTGAAAAAAATGGAATTAAAAGATAATACAAATATTTCCATGAACTTTCTGAAGACCCCTCATACGTGTGTGGGCAGGGAGAGGAAGAAAACTAGGCTTGTCTGCACATACCACTGAGAACTTTCAGACACCAGGACTGTGAAGCACATGTTTAAGGTTGCCTAAGTAACCTAGGGCCCCCAGATATTTTTAAGAAAGTATACAGAAAATGAGGAGAACACCCTCTAAATAATGAAGCTCTGTGTGATCAAGTCATTATTATTTACAAGTGATCTGACTCCCTTCCCCCAGCACAGTTAATCTGTTAATTTGATGTTGAAAAGGGATTGGAATTCTATGAGGGGCTGAATGTAAGCATTTAAAGTGCATCCCTGACTGCATTCCCCTCACAAAGAAACTGTTTTTGTCTCATCCATTATTTTTTAAATATTTTTTTCTCCTCCTCTCCATTAGTTAAGATCAAATTTTTCATTTAATTCAGAATTAACCTTTAACTCAAAAAGATAAACAAATACACCCTCCTCCAATATACAAATCAATGAGTAAGTGCCTTAAAAGGACACTTTGTAGCGAAGATTTCCCCGGGAACTTATACAGCTATACTAAAATTTATTCTTTCCTTTGGCTGAATGTTTATTTCTCCAATAGATTCACTAAAGTAAAGGTATCATGCAAAGTCAATAAATGACACATTACACATGACCTGGCTCTTAAAAGTTTCCAAGCCTGCTGAGAATGACAAAAGCTGTCCCGAGAACTTCGAAGAGGCCTAAGAAAAAACTCAAATGAAAAACCTCTCTTGAATATTTTGTGTGTATGTATGTTAATAATTATGCCAAGAATTTCCAACATCATTTTCCCCTAGCGACTTCTCAAGCACGTTGACGTTAAAAGGAGGAAATATGTTATTGTCTTAAAGTTGGTTGGTTCATCTTGATGTAATGAAATGATATTTCATAAGACATAAGAAACCAGTTGTTCCACATTACATTTATTATTTCTGAAAGCAAGCCCTGAGAAATGCACCCCACGCTCCAAATTTTCCAGCGTTGGTTGTTAAGATTTTTGTTCTTCGTGTACGTGTTTGCTTTACAGAAAGAACGCTGAAACAAGTTGCAACAGAACAGCCTCCCACGTGTCAGGATCTCTGCAGGGATTGAATACGTAACGTACTCGACGATAACTAGTCCAGTCTCTTGTTTACTGGAGGAGAGGAAGGACTTTCTTTTCACGTCTTAGACAACTGCAAAAACCATTCATTGACAAGGAAGGAAGGAACAGGGTACGAGAAAAACTACCAAAATAACCAGACTGCGTCTCACATCCTGAGATCTTTTAAAACTCATTTCCTATAAAAGGGTGTCATTCGTCCCGTGGCGTGAGGGTAGAGATGTGGATTTCCAGGGAAGGAGGCACTCACAACTTCAATGGACTCAGCTATGAAATCTACCCTACACTCTCGAAAGTTCATCCCAAGGTCTAACCTCGAGTCTCCGTTCTGGCCAAGCAAGCCCTTCCCACTTCGGGCAGGTCCAAGAAACTTCCCACTCAAGACTCCATGCTAAGAAAGCCACTCCAGTGGGAGGGAAACGACCCCCTCCAGCCACACCTTTCCTGCACCCAGTACGCACCCCCTCACCTCAGACCTCCCGTCCTCACCTTCTCCCAAGATGCAGGAGCGCGAGATTTAACCCTTCCGGCCCTCGGAGGGAACAGGGAAGACTAAAGACAACGCACCTCTTGCGTCTAGCAATTCTGTTCCCCGAGGAAACGAGAGCTTTATAACGAAAGTACCAGTTCCCTCTTAGGAGGACTCAGTGAACTCTGCTCCTGCTTGTTTGTAGGGAAATCTGTAAAACTGCCTGGCTTGCTGCCTCACACCCCACCTCCTCCGCGAGTGTAGGAGTGTGTAGAGCATTACGGCGGGCCTGGAGGGTCTAGTCCCAGAAAAGGCTCCGTGAGACTCTGGCGTCTAGGACATTGTAGCCGCTGCCTGAAATATCGATGAGCCCTTACCCAGAGGTTTAGAACGGAAACTCTTTCTAAGGCAAATTTTTAAAAAGAGCGTTTCCTCCTATAAATTAGGTGTATCTTCCCGCCCTCGGGTCCCAGTTGTCAGAGCACCACAAACCCTTTCCTGATTGCAGGGGTGGGCGGGGTGGAGGGCTCGGTGTTCTGCCCATTTTGCCTGGCGCACGAGGTGCTAGTGTACCCTGGCCGGCACCGTCCGGGCGAGAAGCGGGATCCTAGCGGAGGTGGAGGAGATGGCGTCGCAGCCGCCGCCTCCCCCGAAACCCTGGGAGACCCGCCGAATTCCGGGGACCGGGCCCGGACCAGGACCCGGCCCCACTTTCCAGTAAGTGTGGGATTCTTCAGGCCGCTACTTTGGTGGGCTGGGAGCGGCGAATTGGCAGGAGGCGGTTGAGGCCGTTGTTGTGGGGAGGTATTCCCCTCCCCCCTTCAGCCAGCCCCCAACCTGGGGGGTGGAGAGGACCTAGGTGGGGCCGGGGCGCCTGCGAAGGGGATTTCAGTGTCTGACGGCTGTTTCCGACCGGCCACTGTCGGTAGCAACGTTTTCCCGGGAGCTTCTGGGCACCTCTCTGGGCCTTGGTGCTTAGAAAAAAGAGGGGCGGCGCCCTGCCCTCTTCTGTTTGCGGGACACTTTTGACAGAACTGCTTGACCCCCTTTAAATAAAGCTTTAGACTCCGGCCTGTGGCGGCTGAGAGCGGCATTTGCCCAGCCCCGGCATCGATAGGGAGCAAAGTCTCTCGAAGAAGCTATTAACTTCACTTGAAGTGGAGAAAGCCCAGGTTTTACGCAGCTGGGACCCAAGCCTACACATTTGGCATTATTTTCCAGCATAACTCTGCTAATATTTCGAATTGAGATTTGGAGAAGCAACTTGAAAGCAGGAATTATAAATCTGAGGCCTAAGGATGGCCTTTGTGTGCAAATAGTATGTTTTTCTAAGGCCTATAGTTTTTTGTTTTATTTTTAGTCAGTATCAAATGGATCTACAACTTTTAAAAGATTAAAACATACTCTTGTGTGTTTTTTGTTCATGGGATCTGGACATCTTAATTAAGATGGTGTGACTTGAATGTCAAATCACCTACTATTGTAGGTTTTCCTAAGGCATAAAAATCCCCAACATATTAGAATGTACTTCTGCTGTGTTCTGAAATCTTTTATTTAAACGCTGAAATGCTTGAGTACGATAGCTACTTAATAATAAAAAGCAAGTAATAAACTTTAATTATGCTGTTAAGCCGTGATGACATTTTCTGCTATCTTTTTTATGAGTGGTTCTTTTTTTTTTTTTCTTCTTTCCTTTTTTTCCATTTAGACTGCTCATTGGAAGACAGAAGTTTTACTTTTGCACCGGTTAAAATTCTTTTTATGTAAAATTAACCATTTTCTCACTTTTTTCTTATGAAATATTTTAAATACGTAGAGACCAGTAGAGAGTGCCATAATATCTGTGTATTCGCCACCCAACTTTAAGAAATATTAACAGTTGCCAGATTTGCGTCATTTTTTTTTTTTTTTCTTAAAGTTAGGGAAACAGTTAAACCCGTCCATTCTTTCCAGCGGTAATTACTGTCCCTCTTTGGTGTTTAGTATACCCAATGATTTTTATACCCAATAATATTTTTATACTTTATATTATATATGTTATATCTAAAGTTTACACACATGCTAAACAATAATATATACTTTATATAATTTTATATATTATCTTTTTATTTATCTTTTTTCTTTGCTTTTTCTGTTGCCCACTTTTCTATTGGCTTTATCTTTGCCTTATCAATTGGTAAGAGTACTTTATTGTTGATAGTAATCTTTTTTGTCCATACGTTTTGCTAATGTCTTTCACTCTGTGGTTTCTCCTTTATATTTATGTTGAATTTTTCTTACCGATGTTTTTAATTTTAATATAGCCAAAATTGTCATATTTTCTTGTTTGTGCTTTTTGTCTTGGTTATAGATCCTTTCCACGTAGATCAGGAAAACTTTTCAGTATATTTGCTTTTAAATGTTCTGGTTTTCACATTCATATCTTTAATCCACCTGGAACTGACTTTGTTGTACAAAAATCATTGTGAAGTAGGGAATACAATTTCTTTTCCATGTGGATAACTAATGGTTCCGGCACTATTTATTGAGTAGTCTTTTCCTTCCTAGTTTATAATGCTATCTATGTTATATCAAGTTTTGTAAATGTGTTGTTTTGTTTTGGGGTTTTTCTGACTTGTTCTATTGGTGTATTTGTCACATCAAAGCTCCACACATTGCTGTTGTTCAGAATTGCCTTTTTACACTTATCCTTTATAAAAAGACTTACTGGGATTTTTATTGGAACTGTCTAAATGTATTGATTAAGTAAGTCTTTCCATTCTTGAATATTGTATAAGCTACAATTGGTGAGAATTTTGATTTTCTTTATTGCTTTAAGTAATGTTTTATAATTAACCCCATGAAGTTTTTTTCCATCTTTTGTTTTTTATTCCTAGATTATATATTTTTTCATTGTTGTTGTAAGTAGGCTCTTTTTTCCCCCCTTTTACATTTTCCAGTTGGTTATTTGCTGGTATGTCAGAATGCTATAGATTTTTTAAAAATGTATAAATATTATGTATAGCTTAACATCAAACGCTTAATTTGTTCTAATGGTTTGGTTGAAATTCTCTTGAGTTCCCTGTAGACAATCCTATCATTTACAAGTAAGCCAGAAGAGATAGCCAGCATCCTTGTGTTGGTCCTGAATTTTATAAGAATGCTTCTGAAGTTCCACATTTGCTTTTTTTTGTATAGATATCCTCTTGAACTTCTATGTCTCTGCCTTGCTCAGATTTTTATTATGAAGAAGAATTAAATGTTGTTATGAATGGTTTTTCTGCGTCTGTTGAGATAACTATATATTTTTTCCCTTAATGTAAAAATGTGGTTTATTACATCAATTAACAATCTAATGTTGAATCATCCTTGCATTTTTGATTGAACTCTGCTTAGTTGTGATTTTTTTATGTGCAATCCAAAATCCTATTCTAATATTTTAAGATCTTTGCATATATGTTCCTAGGTGAAATTGAAATTTTCTTACTTTGTACTATATTTTTCTGGGTTTATATCAGAATTTTATAGCTAGAGAAATTTTTCTGTTGAGTCTAGTTTTTATTGTTTTATAGACAGACTTTTCTCTTTAGTGGCCTTTAAGATTTTATCTGATACCTCGGTGCTCTGTAGCTTTATTTTAGCACAAAATCTAGAGATCTGCTGTCTCAACATTGTCTTCAAGGGGCCTAAATTTTTCCTGGCTTCCATTTGTTTTCTGTCAGCTTTCTGACAATTTCTGACATCTATATCTGTTCTTGCTCCTTTAAAAGTAATCTTTTTTCCTCTGGCTGCTTTCCAGATTTTTCTGTTGTTTTAGGTTTTCAGCAATTATACTTTGTTGGGCCTCAGTGTGGTTTTCTTTATTATTCTGGGTGGAATTCATAGGGATACTTGAATCTGACTTTGATGCCTTTCATTAGTTTCAGAAAAGTTTCATCCATTATCTCTTCAAATATTGCTTCTGCCTATTGTCTCTTCACTCCCTTAACTCAAATTACACATATGCTCTGTATTTCACCATATGCCCTGCATCTCAGTCTCTTTTCTGTATTTATCCTTTGTTTCTCATGCTTCATTATGGGTGTTTTCTTCTGAACTATTTTGTAGTTCACTGGTATTTATCTTTTCGGTGCGTCTAATCTGGTATTTTTTTTTTTTTTTTTTTTTTTTTTTTTTTTTTTTTTTTTTTTTTTCG